ACATACCTTTGTTCCCACTCAGGTACAGTGTCAGGGGGCGTGCCCTGGCCAAATGTGGTTGGCTTCTTCAGAATGAACCGTGTCTCTCTCCCCAGTCTCTGTGTAATGTGCATGTCCCTCCACATGAATGAAATGCATTTCAGTCTTTCTTCTTCCCTCCTTCCCTCCCTTCTCTCCTTCCCTCTTCCTCTTTTTTGAGAGCTAACCATAGGTGGATTCGCCCCTGCATTTTCTTCTTTTGAAAGAGATCCAATCTGACACTCTCAGCTTCAAGATCCAAGCCACCTTCCCCGACACATCCCTCCCCATCCCGGGCCCAGGTCACACACGAAGCTCTGACCCCATTAGGTCCCTCACAGGCAGGATCCATCACATCTCCTCTGTGTCCTGTCATATGAGCTTCCCTATTGGAAGTTCTGGCCCGATGTCGCCGCCTCTAGGAAGCCTTCCAGAACCCTCCTTCCCCACGAGCCAGGTGCTTAGCTCTCCATGCGCAGCATCCCCAGCACTGCACACGCGCCTTCCAGGCAGCCTCGCCCTCCACGCTGTAGGGTATTTCCTGGTCTCTCCCTGGGCCCGACAGCTGGGCACTCAATGGACCAGCCACGCTGGATGAAGATGGGAACCAACAAGAGACCCACGCCCGGGGGCGGCATCCAGCACTCTCTCTCTCTGGCCCTACCTCCACCGGGCTCCGCCTCAGATCCGAGGCAGGTGGGAAGGGGGCGGGGTTTGTTCTGGGTAGATCAGAGGGGCCAGATGCCATCACCTTCCATAGCTGCCGGGAGAGAGTTTGAGTCGAGACCCCAGCAAGTGCCCCTCTGAGGGCCATGCTTCCTTCGTTCTCACAAAGCGTCCTGGCTCTGAGGTAGCCAGTGTTGCCACCCTCTGCCGGCACCCCAATCCGTCTCCTGCTTACTACCTGGAGACCCCACAGAAAAGAATGAGGCTGCTCTGCAAACGCCTTTGGAGGCGAGGGTAGACAGCTTCTGCCATTTCACCAGTCTTCTGAAAACAGGTTTTTATAATTTCTTGGTGTGATCAATTTTGTCCCTCTGAGAACAAAATGACTCAGCCCTTGAATAGTCCGGAGATTGAATTATTTGGAGA